TGCGGTGGAGGCTCTTGGTCAGGACGCCATTGAGCTTCTAGTCGATCCTGAGGACTTCGCCGTTGCGAATGATGTAACTCTTCGTGTCATGGGTGGGGAGAATTGGACTGGTCAATTACCTGTAAAGAACAAGATGGGGCAAAAATTTATGGTTGTTGCCACTAACACTCCATTCTATGACGATGGTGCATTGGTTGGGATTATCTGTGTATCAAGTGATTCACGGCCATTTCAAGAATTGAAGATTCTTTTAGCATCAGGTTCTAAACAGCAGGATGCAGATTCGAACACGATCTGTTCAAGAATCCCGGTTTCAGCTAAACTTGGTCTTGATCCTCAGCAGCCTCTTCAAGTTGCAATTGCTTCAAAGTTATCGAATTTGGTTAGTCTTTTTGGTTTCATTTCCCTATGTTTTGTTGTAGTGTGCGTATCTTGATAGTTTGTAGCCTTGGGGGACAGGCATCAAAGGTAAGCAACAAAGTCAAGTCCAAAATTCGAACTGGAGAAAACAGTTTGGATCGTGAAGGTGGAAGTGCAGATAGTTACCACTCTGATCATGGCTTTCCAGATGCAGTTCTTCGTGACCATCGGGAGGATGCAAATTCAAGTGGAGCTAGCACGCCTCGGGGCGATTCCACGGCTCATGGTGCGTTGTCCCAGGTTGAGGAGAAGTTGTCTGGCAAACTGGTCAGGGATTCTGGTGATGAGGTTGCAGGAAAACCTACCATCCAGAAGATCTTATCCTCAAAAGCAGAAGAGTGGATCACTAAGAAAGGCATATCTTGGCCATGGAAAGGGACCGAGCAGGAAGGAGGATCTGAAACAAGAACAACCCGTATTGTTTGGCCCTGGGTACAAATTGATCAAGAAACTGAACCAGCAAATCATAAAAGTTCTTCTTCATCTGTGAAACCAGAAATGCAGCAAAACGATGGTCATCGAGCAGTCAATAATGAGGCGTCGGGATCTTGGTCATCATTCAATTTTAACAGCACTAGCAGTGTCAGTAGCTGTGGAAGTGCCAGTAGTAGTGCTATCAACAAGGTTGACACGGACTTTGACTGCTTGGATTATGAAATCTTGTGGGAAGACCTTACTATTGGGGAGCAAATAGGGCAAGGTAAGTGATGGTCTTTGGAATGAATTGGTATATGTGGGCATTCATCATTTTGTTTCAACTTTATCTTTTACTGTCTGCTCTTTTTCCATCTATTGTTGCATTACATGGTCAACAAAATATAGCTGGAAATGGGATTAATCTTTGTAACTTATCTCCACTATTTGTGGGTTTTAGTTCTCTATCTGTCTAAAAGGACACAAATTAGGAACTCATGAAACTGGTATTTGTGTTTTGTTTCATACTTTGTAAATCGATTTGATTTTAATGCATGAATTGCCTTCATCTCTACAGGTTCTTGTGGAACTGTCTATCATGCGCTGTGGTATGGATCAGTATGTTCACTTATCCTTTCAATTGCTTCAATTATGTTGTTTTGTCAACAAGGATTCTGAGATTCTCTAGTCTTTTTCCTTGTTTTATCATGTAGGGGCAAAGTGTTTTCATAATATCTATGTTTGAAAGATGATTTGAACTGTTCTTGCAGGACGTTGCCGTCAAAGTGTTTTCCAAACAAGAGTATTCAGATGATGTGATTCTCTCCTTCGGACAGGAGGTGTGCTTTTCTTTCTGCTTCTCTCTTTACTCCCACGTCCCTCAAAGCTTTTTGTTTTAAAGGTATCCCTGATGAAATGTCTATTCTTAGAGCTAAATTCAACCTTTTGTTTTAAAGGTATCCCTGATGAAAAAGCTTAGACACCCCAACATTCTTCTCTTCATGGGAGTTGTGACTTCACCTCAGCGTCTCTGTATTGTCACAGAATTTCTTCCACGGTTTGTTCTCGACTTCCGTTCTTGGTTTATATTAGTTTGATTTAAGCTTCCAAGTGAAGCATTCTTCATTGGCTGATTGAAGTATCTGGTACCTATAAAAACAGTGGAAGTTTGTTTCGTTTACTACAGAGGAACACGGGCAAATTAGATTGGAGACGCCGTGTTCATATGGCTTTGGACGTTGTAAGTATTTCCACACATTGGTGATTATCTTCGTTTTTAGAAATGATTGTTGAACACTTCCTGGCATAATGGTTCTGGATTCAATTTTCTCTTCTTGGCATGATCATTATGTTTTCCATATTTCTCTCTGTCATGAATTCAACTAATTAGTGATAATTCTTTTGAATCTGTAGTCATTTCATGATATTTCATTGTTTACATATATTACTATTTTAATAGGCGAGAGGCATGAACTATCTTCATCATTGCAATCCACCTATTATTCACCGGGATTTGAAATCTTCGAACCTCTTAATTGATAAAAACTGGACTGTGAAGGTATGATGTTGTTCCATACTATTCTACTTGTTTGAATCGATATATACAATACAATTACAATTTTTTAAGTCTTATAATTTTTATCAATCCTGCAGGTTGGGGATTTTGGTCTATCTCGACTTAAGCATGAGACTTATCTAACGACTAAGACGGGAAAGGGCACGGTAAGCCTGACATTTTCTTTTTTGCAAGTTGCATGGGCATTCGATTCTAGAGTTTCTGCTTTGTACTGCAAGCATTACCTATTCAGTTCATTTTCCTTTATGTAGCCTCAATGGATGGCGCCTGAAGTTCTTCGTAATGAGCCCTCGGATGAGAAGTATGTGCTAATAAGTTTCAAGCTTCATTCTATTCCGACTCATGAAACTTAAAGATAAATATGCTGATTATGATTGCAATATTCAGGTCTGACATATACAGTTTCGGAGTCATATTGTGGGAGCTTGCAACCGAGAAGATCCCTTGGGAAAATCTCAATACAATGCAGGTACTAATTTCTTTTCAAGTGATATCTAGAAAGTTCCCTTGTAAGCTGAATGTTCTTCCATTTGGGCATTCCATGCAGCAGCCAAGTTTCTGTTTGTTCTTGTGCCAAACGTTGGCATTGTGGATGATGTTATGGCATTGCATATTTGACAAGTTTCAAAATATGTAGGTGATTGGTGCTGTTGGGTTCATGAACCAACGACTTGAAATCCCCAAAGACGTGGATCCACAGTGGGCTTCTATTATTGAAAGCTGCTGGCACAGGTACATAGAGTTGGCTTTATTTATAGTTTCTAAGATAGATAAATGGTTCAAATTCTAGTTTCGCATCTGATTTCTTTACCTGTTCCATTATGGTTGCTGAATTCATTTAGTTGTCTAGAAACATGATTTGAAAGTAACTGGCATACGTAGGGTAAAATACTTGTTTCTCATTGCATACATGAATTATTATTAGCTACATTACAAAAAATAAAAATAAAAAACTTATTCATTTGTTTCAAAAATACTTTTATTCTTTCAAAACTTAGGACCTTTTACAAAGGATGGTTGGGATGGAGTCCCACATTAATTAATTTAGGAAATGATCATGGATTTATAAATAAGGAATACATCTCCATTGGTACGAGACCTTTTGGGAAAACCAAAAGTAAAACTATGAGAGCTTATGCTCAAAGTGGACAATATCATACCATTATGGAGAGTCGTGATTCCTAACAGTTTCAAAACGGTGTGACAGTGTTTGGGTCCCAATTTCTGTTTTGGTCTTCGTTTTCATCTAATACTCTAATAAAATTTTACTTTATAGACAGTTTTGGTAAGGTCAAAAGATAATATTACAACTTTTGAAAGAGTCTAGACTATTTTCGAAACAAAATGTGTTTGCAAATAGTTTTAATTTTTTTCTTTTTTTATCTTGGTTGTATGTGAACAACAGTGAACCCGCAAACCGGCCATCATTCCAGGTTCTGATGGAAAGGCTTAGAGAACTGCATAGAAAGTTTACTATTCAATTACAAGCAGCCCGTAACGGTGGAGATAATATCAGTCAAAAGGAAACATAAAGAAAACCAACAATTTTTATGGGTCTATTTTATCATATAATTACCAATTGATGAAGGCAAGTCATAGGTGTGTATGATCAAGGTTTTGATGGTTCAGAGTTGGTGAGCAGATAGTGGGCGTAGGAGGTTTAAAGGACATTATTTGAACCACAAAGTGGAATGTAAGTTAATGGGTGGAAAGGATTTTCGTCACTGTGGAACGGAAAATGACTCCTCGGAGTGGCAGCGTGGGCAGTGTCTCATATCAACTGGGCCGAGCTTGGTGGTGGGGGATGGGGGTGCCATTCTTTTTTTTTGCCCTTTTTTCTAAAAGTAAAGAGCCATAATTAAAGACCTTTCTTCCTTTTTAGGTGTCGATAGTGCTGTTCGATAGGGCAGGTTCATAGGTCACCCACTTGCTTCATTTGCTGTAAATGAGTTTCGGACCACTTGTCATAAGTTGTACAAAGAAGATATGAAGATACGACACAATTTTTTGAGAGTTTATATTCTGTAACGTAAATGCTTCTGCTTGGTTGCTTCTCTCTGCTTGTCAAATTGTCTTTTGTTGTCTTTTGTCTCGAGAGGATCGATGGTTGCATCTAAGATGCACACAATTTGACTAGTTGTAAATAAATTCAGATGGTGAAGCAAAGAATTATCTCAGATCTATATCGAGATATTGATCGTGATTCTTTAGTATGATAGTAAAGCTCCCACTAGGTGCTTTTCGAGTGCTCTTCGAGTTCTTATGATTTCATGTAATTCCATACCATGCCATGCCTAGTTAAAATGCTTTGGTTTTATTCCATGTCAAACTACATGTTTAGTAACATGAAGTTGTATCAAACAAAATTTTAAAAGTTAAATAAAAAGATTGTGAAGAAACAAAATTACAAATATGACCCTATGAATTAGGTTAAACTCGGGTTTCATCGGTTCTTTTCAGTCTTTTCCACCTCGGAAGGAACCATTTATGGGGTATGTGCATAAATACTGTGAACGTATTGAAACCTTTTTAAACACCAACCTACCACAGATTATCTGGGTATCATCAAATGGCTTTAAAGACATGGCCACTTTCATCGAACCCCCCTTCAGCAAAGAGATTTAGAACTAATATTTAAGGTTTACAAAGAAGAAAAAAGAAGAAACTTCCAGCATTTCCATACAATCTGAACTCACAAAAAGTAAGTTTATGATTCTCACTACACTTCAGAATAGTTTTCCCAGTAAAACTTCAAGTAATAAGTAAACAGAGTCTCTTCAAACACCTGCTGAATCAGCGTAGTAAATACCGTATAGCAGCAACCGCGTCGCCTTTGTGCTCTCGCAAGGTTCTCTCGGCAACCTTCTTGTCCAACTGTAAACAGTACAGGAAAAGATGGGAATAAATTAGAACTTGAAACAAGCTGATGCCATGAAGCTTATAATAAGCTGTTATCTATCTACATTGATGATTGGAAACAGGATAAATGTGAATCAAACCTCGAGTTCGTTTGCGATTATGTCGACATCAGCTGCGTTTATTTTGACAGCAGCAAGCTCCTTTTCTCTGAAAGGCAAATACAATGGACATCTTAGAAAAAATCCATGCTAAGAATTCAACAGGTATCGTAGCTGGAAAAACATAGCCGTGTATGGAAAACACTCTTCAGATCTTCACAAACATACAAAAAGACAGTTCGAAAATTCAAATCTTCGCAGTTTTGTTGGTAAGTGTTGAAATTTGGGCAACCAACCAAATAAGTTATTGAATATTGAAGCAAAAAGAAAAAAGGACTATTACTGAGAATGAACATCAACATCAAGTTTATAAGTGTACAGCCGAAGCTCACCGCTACCAGATATTGTCCTCTTTGGGCTTTTTGAGCTTTCCCTTTCTGACTTCCTTTCAAAGTTATTAAAATGCGTCTACTAGGGAGAGGTTTCCACACCCTTATAAAGAATGTTTCGTTCTCATGATCTCATGATCTATACCCCTTCGAGGCTCAACGTCCTTGTTGGCACTCGTTTCACTCTCCAATCGATATGGGATCTCACAATACGACATAAAGTTTTGTAGCTCAATAGAGAATGTGGTATAAGATATAACACAAGAGGCACTACAAGGAAGACGCACTACAAGGAAGACGCACCACAAGAGGCCCTATTTGATAACTATTCGACTTTCTGTTTTCTATTGTTGAAAATTGTGCTTGTTTCTCATGAATTCTTCCCGATGGTTTGGCTTTACTTTGTAAACGATTGAAATTAAACTTTACTTTCATTTTGAAAACTCTAAAATTCGATAACAAAACAACGAAATCAAGCTCAATTTTCAAGAACAAAACAGAGTCAATGGGGCCTGAAAAAACATAAAATGGAGAAAAGTTCACACAATAAAGAGTCCTAATGATCTTAAAGAACTCATTATTTGCCAACAATTCACAATAACATGGCGTTCATCGTTCCAAGTCTCTTAATAACCAAAATTTTACAATAACATGGCGTTCATCATTTGGCATATATATTAAAGAGGGGAAATCCAGGATTTCTACACCTACCTCAACATCATCGCGTTCCAATCAGCTTCGGCCGATGCAGCAATAGATGCCATTGCCTGCCATTCGATCACAAAACAAAAACATTGAATTGAAAAACTTGTTCACGCTAATTTCTACATGAGATTCTAAACAGCGTAAATTCGAAGAAACTGATAAGAACGAAATGACAATATATGTAAAATTAAAATGAACAAAAATTCAAAGTTCCTCTCAACTCCCGAGGCAAGATTAAATTAACTCCCAACTTCGTTAGGTCAGCTAAATTTCTAGTCAATTCCTTCCTGTTCTAAGCAAGAATGCAAAAGCGAGGCGTATTGGCAGAAGTAAATACCTCTTGAACACGAGTGGAATCGAGTTGCCGGTCTTCAACGCGATCAGTGAGCTTATCGAAGGCTTTGCTCTGTTGCTGCATATCCTTCGAATCTACCAGACTCTCGACTCCATCGTCTCCCGCTTCCATTTTCTGTAAATATCGTTCGCAAATCGTTTAGCGCCCTGAATTCTCAAACTCACAACGTAGAAGTATTTTCTGTGATTTTTAGCAACAATCGAAGAACCTGCTGCAACTGAGAATCGGAACTAATCGGCGATGGCAAGGAGCTAAGAACAGCTAAAACCCTCGGTTGCAATTTCCAACTCGTCGACTTAGGGGCAATCCACTGACACAGACTACAAAGAGCGTCGTCCAGGCCCAAATTAAAGTCCAATGGTCTTCAGAGCGACCCCAAAATAAGGCCCAATAAGTAAAGAGCCCAACTCGAGCCTGAGCACAAAGCCCAATCTTAGAGCGAGCCCACAGGAACTGATCCGCTACTACTTCAAGCCCAACTTCAGGCCCAAAAAGAAAACGTAAGCCCGATCCAGAATGAGCCCGAACGTTGACAAGCCCACTAAAGTTAGTGGGAGAAAAGCGGCGTCCATAAAAGTACAAAGCCCAAATTCAAGCCCAACCCTAACCCCAAATAGTAAAACAAGCTGAAGCGCAAGCCCCAACTCAAGCCCAACCTAACACAAACAGTAGAACGAGCTCAATCCCAAGCCCAATCTCAAGCCCAACTCAAAGCACAAACTGTAGAACCAGCTCAAGCCCAAGCCCAAAGAACACAGTAGAACGAGCCCAAGCCCAAGCACACAGTAGAACGAGCTCAAGCCCAAGCCCAATCCAACGCACACAATAGAACGAGCCCAAGCCCAACCCAAAGCACAAACAGTAGAACGAGCTCAAGCCCAAGCCCAACCCAGAGAACACAGTAGACCGAGCCCAAGCCTAAAGTACACTGTAGAACGAGCTCAAGCCCATTTGCCAACCCAAAGCACGCAGTAGAACGAGCCCAGGCCCAAGCCCAACCCAATCTTATCATGTTCTCAAGTTTTCAATGGATAAACTAATACATTGATGAGAAACAAAAGTCGAACTCACGTAGTTGAAATCATCTGAGTTATATTTAATGAATTCAACTGTAACTCTGCCCATGCCTACTTTTTTTTTATATTTATCCTTTGTTCATGATTTTCTCGTTTTCCAATACGCAATCTTGCAAGAACTACCCCATGCCTACTTTTTTATTCAATCTCCACTCCCCAATTTGATCACACCGACTTCCACTTTCTGCTGTATTCGCTCCTGATTTCTTCGCCGGAATGGATCGATCATCGTCGGAAAAGCTCATCCTCGTCAACCGGGAACCAAACGGGATCGCATTCGTTACGATCAACCGACCGAAGTCCTTGAATTCGTTAACGAGAGCGATGATGGCAGATTTGGCTCAGGCGTTTAAGAGCTTGGACCGCGACGAGTCCGTGCGAGTTATCGTGCTCTCTGGAACAGGCCGAGCCTTCTGTTCCGGTGTAGACCTTACTGCGGCGGAGGATGTTTTCAAAGGAGATGTGAAGGATGTTGAAGCCGATCCGGTTGTGCAAATGGAACGCTGCCGGAAGCCGATAATCGGAGCGGTTGCAGGTTTCGCCATCACCGCTGGATTTGAGATCGCCTTGGCTTGCGACATACTCATAGCTGCCAAAGGAGCTAAGTTCATCGATACTCATGCTAGGTTTGTTATTTTCCGACTCAATTTTTTTGTAATCTCGACTGATTCTTGCTGCTAGGAATAGGATAAACACGGATTTAGGATCAATAAACCAAGTGATTTTCTGAAATCTCCTGCTAATTCTGTTCTATTGAAACTCCGAATTTCTGGAAAATTTCGTGATAGATTTCGGATATTTCCTTCATGGGGATTGTCTCAGAAACTCCCGAGGATCATCGGAGTTAACAAAGCTCGTGAAGTATCCTTAACGGCGATGCCTCTAACTGCAGAGGAAGCAGAGAGGAAGGGTTTGGTGAATCACGTGGTCGACGGAGGTGAATTGTTGAAGAAAACTCGAGAGATTGCGGAGGCCATCTTGAAGAACAATCAGGACTTGGTGTTGAGATACAAGTCCGTCATTAACGATGGCCTGAAGCTGGATCTTGGCCATGCTCTTGCGCTGGAGAAGGTAATGTCCTCGACAAAATTCATATTCCGAATCTGTTGATCATTGAACCTTGAAAATTGTGTTCTTATTTCTGTTAAACTCGAGTTTCTCTTCGAATTTTTGTGCCAATAACTGTCTGGGGATGATTTTTTAAGTACTTTTTGGATGAACAAAGCTTGTGTAGTAGCATCCTGCAACTAGGGATGTCCAATGTTCATTTACACCATGGGGAATTGCTCCGAATGGGGTTTCCTCTTTACACAGGAAATGAGGAAGGAGGAGCAGGGAGAATTTTTGAAGAATATTCATCGTCTCCACTCTTGTTCCCGTCCTTGCCCCGAATGGGGTTTCCTCCCTACACAGGAAGTTGGGAAGGAGGAGAAAGGGGAATTTTCGAAGAATATTCGTTGTCCCTGCTCGGGGCGTTCCTCTTTACACAGGAAGTGGGGAAGGAGGAGGAAGTTGGTTTTTAGTGTTTGGTGGTGTTCGGCACAGGGGAGAACATCCAAGCCGTGGAATTCACACGAAAGGAAACGAGGAATTATCAACTAAAAAAGTGCTCTCTGAACATGAAAGTTGTTTTCCTCTTGGAAAAGTGTTCCTCGAAGATCCTTACCCTTCCACTTCCCCTTTCTTCCCATGTTTCCGCTGCTCTCGTTCTCGTCCTTGGCCTAAATAGGGCTTCCTCTTTACACAAGAAGTGGGGAAGGAGGAGGAAGTTGGTTTTTAGTGTTTGGTGGTGTTCTAGGGGAGAACATCCAAGCTGTGAAATTCACACGAGACGGAACGAGGAACGATCAACGAAAAAAGTGCTCTCTAAACGTGAAAGTTTTCCTACTGGGAAAGTCTCCCTCGACACAAAGTTCCTTACCCTTCCACCTTCACTTTCTTCCCTTGTTTCCAGTACTCTCGCTCCCGTCCTTGCCCCGTTTCTTTTATCTAAATGGAGAATAATTCTTGACGAGGAATCCTCATCCCAATACTAAACTTTGCGGGGATGGAAACGAAGCATTTCTACCTATACAACTGACTGTTTGTTTCGTTTGTTTGTTTGTTTTGTTGATGCAGGAGAGAGCTCATGCATATTACAATGGAATGACCAAAGAGCAATTCAAGAAAATGCAGGAATTCATAGCTGGTCGGAGCTCCAAGAAGCCTTCCAAGTTATAGTCTAATCGATGTAGCTTACTGTCTGTTTCTACACTGCAACAATAATAAGAAGAACTTGCCTCCTAAACGGTTAGTGGATTCTTCCCTTGTTTTATTCACATGTAATTTGATTTTAGTGGATTAGAGATAAAATGACTATTTTGAGAAGAATTCAGGCTGGTTTCTGAGCAATAAATGTTGGGTATTTTATGGATAATGGCTGAATATGAACTCATTGGATGGCAGTTTATGGTTGATTTGATATTACATTGTAAGGGTAGATTATAAATAACAATTATTTGTAAAGGAAGAATCCACAAGACATTCAGAACAGGATATATAAATGTTTAACATGACCTTCCCCCACCCAACTGAGTGGTGATGGTTCATGAACACAGTTAAGAGAGAGGTAAAATGTGAAGTCCTCACGTCGGTTAGAGAGAGGAACGAAAGGGTGTGGAAATCTTTTCCTAGTAGATGTGTTTTAAAACTTTGAGAACAAGCTTGAAAGGGAAAATCCAAAAAGAACAATATTTGTTAGTGGTGTGGCATGAGCTGTTAGAAATGGTGTCAGAGCAAGACATCGGGGGTGTGTCAACGAAGACGTTGGGTTCCTATGGAGATGGATTGTGAGATCCCACATCCGTTGGCCAGACACTGAGCAGTGTCAAACCAAAATACCCAACAATCGCCAGGTTGTCTCTTACCTGGCCATGGATTCAGCAGCAGTTTGAAGAGGGGAACAAAACACTACTTATAAGAGTGTGAAAACCTCCCTTTTTAAAACCTTTTAAAACCTTGAGGAAAAAGTCCAAAAAAGACAGTATCGGTTAGTAATGGGCTTGAATTATTACATAAAAAAATTAAGAATAGAGCGGTGGACTTGAGTTATTACATAAAAGCATTAAGAAAGGAGAACAAAATTGACTATTTAAGCCCATTTGATCACTAGCTTTAGAATGGTTAGATAGATAGATGAGTTACTTTTGACGTTATAGGTATTAAATGTCTCCATTTTGCTTTTGCTCAATTTGCTTCTAGCGTTGGTTCCTTTGGTCAGGTTTGACATTATGATGCGCGATGAGATCAGGTATGTTAAGGTTCGATGGAGGGGAGATGATTGAGTCATAATATGGTAAACACTAAAGATTACGACTGAGAATAGTGCCTAGTTCTTACCATTTGATGTCCTTTTGAGTTTAATCAACAAATAACCGGTAGATATTATTTGACATCAAGACCAGCAAAAACGCTCAATACAAGAGAGACATGTTCATCGCCTTTTTGTCTAATAAACAGCAGTCAAATTATTACACCACGGTTGAAAGAGAAGGACTCTGTCATACTGTATAGAAGTTTTGGCTAGATTAGGCACAAAACATTTGGAGGACCCCCACAAAAGGAGGGGTATTGGTCAAGCGTGTGAGACGACGTTACTGAGTATGTTAAGACGTGCATCGTGTGTCAAAAGGATAAGGTCGAGCGGCATAGACTCCTGCAGCCCTTTGAGTTTAGTTAATTGGTAGATATTATTTGACATCAAGTCTGCTAAGACACTCAATACAAGAGAGACAGTTCACTAGTTAGGGTTGGTTTGATAATTTACGTTGGAGTATAAACTTGCAATAACGTATTGGGCTCAAATACTATTTTTTAGCCCAAATAAAATTATTAGATGGGCCAAGAGGCCCAAGTCACAACTATAAAATGGACCAATAGAGATGATTTTTGGAAAAAATAGCACACATTTTGTTGAGTTGATGGTTTGCTTTTAATATTTTGTTCAAAATTTTATTAGAGTTCAATTCAGGAATTATTTTTGTTGTGATTAATCATTTTCTGGATTATTTATTATCATTTTAAAAAATATATATGTTTTTTTCAAGTATGGAATAAAACAAATTATTATTTTCTAACCCATTATTTTCAGCTTTAATTGATAATATTTTTTGTTTCTTAATTAAATATTGAAATTCTTAGTTAAAATTAAAAAAAAAAAAAAAAAAAAAAAAAAAGAATTTTTAACTCATTCAACTTTGAAGATGTTTTAGAAAATATATGATAAAATAATTTTTTTTATTTATATATATATATATTTTTTGGTTAATCATTTAAAAGGGATTTTTTTGATAAACTATCTCGCTTTAAATAAATTCAAATTTGTTAAATTTTATTTTATTTTATTTATTTATTTAAAAATTAAAAAACACTTCTGCTCATTTAAATCATTCAAGAAGTTATATTAAATAATGATTAATTTGTTTAAAATTACTTATAAAAATATAAACTTAAAAAAAAAACATTTTTTTTTCAAAAATAATTTCAAATTTTTAAACTATTTTTCTAATTTTCAAAAAAAAGAACTTAGTATTTGATTCAGCTATTTGAATTCTAAGTTTTGGTTGAAATAAAACCTTAAAATTTTTTTATTTTATTTATTTATTTATGATGACTATTGTTTATTTATTAATTATAATTTTAAAAGGTGGATGTGAAATGTGGGGGGACTAAATGCAATAAATTAAATTAAAATGAAGTCAATATTAAATAATGACCCATCATATCTTAGTTTCTATAATTAATAAATCAATTTATTAGTTGAAAAGGTCTTTTAATCTACCAATAATTACTATAATTAAAGAATCATTTAAATTGGTTGAAAATTCTATAATAATTTTAAGCCACAAAAAAAAAATATAACAACCATAATTATTGAATTTATTTCAACAAATTATTACACAAAATGAATTAAAATCCAATTACTTAATTGTTTTATTTAAATTAACGATTATATAAGTTGGTCTATTTCTTTTATGGTATGGATCCACTAATTTTTCAAGCTATTTAAAGACTGAATCAACAAATCCAAGTAACAAATTTTTTTAGTACAATCTAAGTAACAATTCAAGGCTCAATAATTATTATTATTTATCTTTTAGATTTTAATGCAATGTGGATGGTAGGTTCTACATTAAATTATTAAAATTAATGCATAAAATTGATTTGAAAATCTCATTAAATCCTCAATGCTAATGTCGTAATAGAATTGAAAAATACGTTAAGGTCGTAATCGTAAATAATAAGTAAATTCACGAACGAAGTTTTTAAAATTATAATAATATATAAGAAAACTTTAATTATTTAATCTTAAAACAAATATTTTAAATCAGTTAACCGTAAATCTTTTTAAAAAATTTGAAGGGTATTATTGTAATTTTTTAAAATTTGAGGGTATTTTGAAACACCATTAAGTAGTTTAGAGTTTTTTTTTTTTTTTTTAATAAATATAAATTTTATCATAAAAGTATACGGATTAAAATGGAGAAAAAAATGGTATTGGGCCGATGAAGGATGGGCCAAGCCCATCTTGGCTGATGGACAACAGAGAAAGCCCAGCCCGGGAAGAGAAAACGTGTAATGTGTAGAGCGTATGAGCAGGTATAGAGAGAGAGAGAGAGAACGCGTCTGACTTTTAGCTGTTTTTCCTTTTCTGAAAAAACAAGAAAGACAAATAATAATAATAATTTCCAATAAGCGCAAAATCGAAAAGGAAAAATATAAATAAATTATATGAGTAAGTTTGAAAACCTCTCTTTAATAGACGCATTTTAAAAATATTAAATAAAAGTCTAAATAGAACAATATCTACTCACTTCACCTATTTATTCTCGAACTGTAAACAAAGACTCTTTGTTCATTCTCGTTCACTGTCAGACTTAACCTCAAGCTCCTACTGATTTCACTCATTCTCCTTCCCTTCGCTACTTCACCTTCAAACACAGTAAACAAGGAAACATTATTCAAAGAAGAATCTGTCATCATCCATTTATTCTTCTTCTTGAGATATTGATTCTTTCTCCTGCCTGAACCTGAACCTGAACCTATCTATTGATTCTTGAACTGTAAACTAAGACTCAACGAAAGCAAGACAAGATTCTCCTTTTCCTATTTCTTCTTGAACAGTAAACTCGGGAAACTGGCGGATCAGCTCCTTCAGTAGCTCTTTCTTTTCTTGAACTCGGTCTCTTCTCTTCTCTTTGCTTTTCTTTCCTGGTAAGGGTTCTGGAGCAAGTCTGCTTCGGTTGTGATAGTAGCTTCAAAGGAATTGAATTGTTTGTTAGTATGTCTTGAATAGGGAAAGCTGAGCTTAGACTTTTACATATCTTACAATCCACTCTCCTTCGAGTCCCAACGTCATCACTGACACTCATTTCCCTCTCCAATTGATATGGGATCTCACTATCCACTCACTTTGAGGTCTAGTGTTCTTGCTTGTACTCGCCCGATGTCCACCCTCCTTTGGGGCTCAGTGTCCTCACGATGTGGTATCTCATAGACTCGACTCTTTTATCTACCTCTCGACCCCTCACTTCGCTTCACTCCTCTTTTATATCGTTGTTTCGATGAGAATACACAATTGGCTCGACTTTTCTAAATGTCCACCGCTGACCCTTCTCCTATGCATATTTAGATTTTTTTTTTTTCGTATCGTTTCGATCGTCATGGTCAACCCGTGAGAAGAAATGAATAAATGAATGTTTATGGGAAAATGTTATTATATTTTGTAATTAAACAATTTTTTTAGTATATACCTTAAAATAAGGAAAAGTAAAAAATATAAATATAAATAAATAAATAATAAATAATGGTGAGAGAGGACATTGACAATAACAGACTCAAGAGAGGGATTCCCCACAGCACCTTCTTCCCCACAAGAGAATGAGGAGAAGACCTTCTGTGTTCCTCTACTACCGAACACAAATCTTCAACTCTGCTCCTTCTTCCCTCCCTTCACGCCTTCATCTTTCCTTTCTCTGATTTCTAGGGTTCCATTTTTGTTTTCTTCCCCTTCTCCCCACTGGGATTTCTTCTTCTTTGCATTCACAACCCCCCCAGGAAGGTTCTAGGGTTCTTACTTCCGGGTTTTCATTACTAGAGATGTGGGATGCTCCGGGGATTGATGAATCTTCTCTCCCTTTGCTGGAAGCCGTTCGGGCATGCTACTGAGAATTTGAGCTCTGTTGGAGTAATTGGAACCACTTGTGGTGGTAAAGATACTAAGGATAGCTTGCTCTGGTTCTATGATTATGGTAAGTATGCTTCCGGCGAATTTTCCATGGCTGTCGTACAGGCCAACCAAGTGCTTGAAGACCAGAGCCAGATTGAATCTGGTCCTTTTGGCACTTTCGTCGGAATCTACGATGGCCATGGCGGCCCCGATGCTGCTCGATATGTCTGCGATAATTTGTTTAGGCGTTTCCAAGGTTCGTGTCATTTTTCAGTTCTCTTATTTTCTGTAAGTCGTGTACTGTGTTTAATTACTTATCATCATTCTTCCTCTTCTCCTGTTGTTTTCAACGCCTCGTGTATCTTTTTCTGTTGGATGTTTGCCTTTTGATTTGTTGCTTATTTATTAATCATTGTCACTACTGTTACTGATCCTTAGATCCATTTTGTTTTTCTTTTTTATTTGATTGTGGATTTTACTTTTTGCGTTTTTTCCATTCAAATGATATACACTTCGCGTTTGGTTGCTGTTCTTCAGTTAAGAGTAGATTGTAGCTTCGCAACAGTTGATCGTGGATTTTACTTTTTGCGTTTTCCCCATTGAAATGAAATACTCTTTGCGCTTGGTTGCTGTTCTTCAGTTAAGAGTAGATTGTAGCTTATGCAGTTGAAGGAGATAGAGGTTGCTAAATAGAATGGAATTATGTATTGGGTTTTGGTTTATACATGTTTACTCCGATGGCTGATGATTTACAACTTTGTTCGATGTTTTGAGTACATAGTCTAAAAATTTTATGCATATTGTTTTCAAGTAACCCTCGTCGTTATGTTCCTTTGATTATTCGTGATTTGTACTTTACTTTTTCAATATTGAAAGGAAAAAAACTGAATTTGGAAAAACTGAAATATGTTCCTGAATGTCACAAATTTTCTTTTTGATTGTTTCCCTCTTGAATAAAATGGGTTGGTTGACATTCTTGTTTACTTCCCTGATGATTCAATTACAGATGAAGAACGAGGAGTTGTTACTCGTGAATCCATTCTGAATGCTTTTCGTCAAACAGAGGAGGGGTTCACAGCCGTTGTGTCAGACTTGTGGAATACTCGACCCCAGATAGCAACAGTTGGGACGTGCTGTCTAGTAGGGGTGATACATGAGCAGACACTCTACATTGCAAGTCTAGGAGATTCTCGTGCCGTGTTAGGGAAGAAAGTTGGCAACACAGGGGAGATTGCTGCCATTCAGTTATCAACAGAGCATAATGCAAATCTTGAGGATATCAGGCAAGAATTAAGAGACATGCATCCCAATGATCCTCAAATTGTGGTTCAAAGGCATGGAGTTTGGAGAGTGAAAGGAATTATACAGGTAAAATTAACTGTTATGGTGTTATTAGATTGCAATTCTTAGGTATATCTAGCCTACAACTTTAGGAACTGTTTTCCTGTCTTGTTGCATACTTATCTTGATATGATCGTTCGTATAAGATGATTTAAATTTCAGATTATGTACCATAAAAGGGTGAAGATGTTGCAATGTTTTCCGCCGAGTCTGTTGAGCTTCTCTAATTTGAGTGAATAGTGGCCATATTTCAGAATTCTAGCTATTTCTCGAAACTATCAAAACGTCCATCCCGCTACATGTTATCACTAGGGAATCATTGCGTCGCTGACTTTGATTTTAGAAGCTTGGTTCTGGACTAGTGCCTTGATATAAAATAAAATTACCATATCTTTTAAGGCTGTAATCTAAGTTTTTCCTGTCGTGGAAGCTGAAATTTTGTTTGTTTTTCACTGAAGTGCATCTTCCTGGTACTGGATTAGTTATTTCATTGGTGTAATTCTTATTGATGTTATTTCTTTAGATAGATGGGGGAAATTGTTTCCTGTAATTTACTGTATTCAAGAGTAACCATAATGCGTCTTTCTCCATTAATTGTTGGTAGAACAAAGTTGTGTCTGAAACACCATATCTCTATAGGCATACGGTCGAGTTTTTCTTTACGTTCAAGCTGAAATCCAGTTTATTTGTCACTGCCATCCATTTATGTGGTACTTGTTATGGTTATTTCATTGGTGTAATTCTTACTGATTTATCCCTTTAGATAGATGTGGGAAATTGTTTACTGTAATCTACTGTTCATGAAGAAGAACCAAAAACATTGCTGCTTCCTTTACCGGAGTAATTACTCACTCGAGTCTTACATGTGGTTCTAGTAGGTCGTGAGAGCGCTCTTTGCAGTCCTCTGCTATCTGTTTACTTGAGTTCAATTTCTTAACTGGCTTTTTTCTGCAAAACCCTTTATTTTCTCATTATTTTTAATTCATTTTTATCTGTGTGGATAATGGTTATATGTTCAACTTTGTGATGATATCTCATGCAGGTTTCTAGATCCATTGGCGATGTGTATATGAAACATGCTCAGTATAATAATGAAAGAATCAATGCTAAATTTAGGCTTCCGGAACCAATAAATAAGCCTATATTGACTGCTGAACCTACGATTTTTGCTCATCCTCTTCACCAAAACGATTCGTTTCTCATATTTGCATCCGATGGACTTTGGGAACACCTAACCAATGAGAAAGCTGTGGACATTGTCCATAATCATCCACGTGCGGTAAGTTTCCCTCCACATTCAGTTCTTTAGTTACTTTCATATTTAGATTGATAAAGAAAAGGACTAAATTTAAGCCTTCAAGTTTGTATCTATTTGGTCGTTTTAGTCTTTAACTCAGTCTTTAACTCTAGAAGGGTATCTTATTGGTAGGTTTCTTAGAGCCTCTTTGGTAGCTATTTGGTTTTTGGTTTAAAATTTCTGAAAATTATATCTTATAAACACTACTACTACCTATATTATGTTTGTTCTATTATCCACTTTCTACTAATGTCTTAGCATTCATAGGTGAAAACTAGTGTAAGATGGAACTTTGGAGGAAGCGAAGTATAAATTTTAAAAATAGAATACTAAAAACGAGATACTTTCCTGCTATGTTTATGTGGTCATCGAATTTTTAAAAGTGTCTAAGACGTGTTTAAACTTTCAATTTTGTGTGCAATAGTTCCCTAAAATTTCAAATTTGCGTCAAATAGACTTGCTCGACGTTTTCTTAGACATAGAATTCACTTTTACATCTAGTATATCAGTTAATTTTTAAATTTAGAATATATCGGGCACATATTAGGCACACTTTGAAAGCTTTAAGAACCTTTTAGTAATAAATAAATACTATGTGACTACACATTTCATGAAACATAGATGGGTTGATCTTATCCTAAGGTGTTATGAGATATCATCTTTCTTTTCCTTTCCCATTGGGTTTTGTTTGCCTCAACGAGAGGTTGTTTTTGTTGTGGTAAACATGATGCTTTAGGTTCTGAGTTTCTGCCCATCTGCAAACATGTTGGTTGCTTGTAAGGTTTTTGTGATGTGCACATTGTAAAGCGAAATACATTTGATTTGGTCCTCCTTGCTATTTGCTTAACGCAGGGAAGCGCGAAAAGGCTTGTGAAGGCAGCCCTTCAAGAAGCAGCTAGAAAGCGAGAGATGCGATATTCAGATCTCCGAAAGATCGATAAGAAGGTTCGGCGTCATTTTCACGATGACATTAGTGTTATTGTTTTATTTTTCAACCACGACCTCATATCCAGAAGCAATGTCCTCCTAGATCAGCCATTATCAGTAAGAAGTGCTCTTGATCATTGATTAAAATTTTTGTTTCTAAATATTAATAAACAGATAGAAAAAAAAAAGAGCCAAATTACAAAAACTACCCTTTAATTTTTCTCCTTGTTTCAAAACTACCCATTTTCTTTCGATAGTTATAAAATTATCCTCCACCTTTCGTAAATGTTTCAAAATATCCTTTGGGGTAAGACTTTCCGTGCCACACCGTTTTAGGTCAAATTTTTACTCCAAAAGTAGTTTTGAAGCATCTATGAAATATAAGGATAATGTTACAACTTTTGAAACAATAGGGGTATTTTTTAAACGATCGTAATTGTGGAGTACTTTTTATAATTTAGTCGAAAAAGAAAAATAAAAAACCCATGTAATTTTCACATTAGATACAATCCCATTCCATGATAGAGAGGTTTACTGATAGGAAGAAACATATTGGTATTAGATATTAAAGCTCATCTGTGCTGTTCTTTCCATTCAAGTACAAATTTCAGTAACCCATTTTTTCTGATATTCACTTGTGTTTCTGTGTGTATTTAAGCTTATTTGTTATTCAATTTAAAGATGGGAACTTTCTTTTAGGGGTAATCTTTGTTATGTTCGAAGGGCGTTTAAGCTTTTAATGGTGTGTCGTATAGGTCTCTATTTTTTAAAATATGTCTATTAGGTCGATGAAAACTCAATTTTGTGTAAATTAGGTTCGTAAATTTACAGAAAATGTTGGAAATTCATAGGCTTATTGGGATTTCACTCCAAATGGCGCAATAAACTCGTGTTCACGAGGAATTGATGGTAATAATTTTTTTTATAATAAAGTTTATAGGTGTTAATGGAAATTTTTTAAAGTTAAAATGTATTTTTGAAACAAATATCTTTAACGATAATAGATATTTTTTTAATATTTACTAATTAAATATAAACAAATTAGATTGTTTATTATTATTTTTGGCTCATTTTCTAAAATTAAAATTTTATTAACTGATTGTATTTAAAGAGAATTATTTTTTTTTTAATAATGTTGAATAACCAAATACAATTGCTTCCTATGTCTTTTTAAGATATTGGTTGATAATGTATGTATTTGTAATAACCCTTTCATTTTATGTATGTATATATTATTTTAATCAATTTAATTCTTCTAGATTTGATTATTTAATTAATCAATGCCTCAAGTGGTAGCAACATTTCCTATCCATTCCAAATTCAAAACTTCATCATATACCCACAACCCCTCACTAAATAGATGATATTTTGTTACATTTTTATAATCTTTTTATTCGATTCGACTACCGATTTTAGTCCCGCTATTGTTTTGACAAAACTTAAGCTACGAGTTCATTCATACGACTCAATGAATTGATACTTCGAAACCCAACTAACTCAAACTTGAACCGACGATAGTTTCCGTTTTTGTAACGACTCTTATCTAGGATTCGAAAAGCGAATTTGACACTTGTTGGTACCGACGCTTTCATTTACTCGACAAGCAGCTAATTCATGGTTAGCTCTCTACATTAGAGCTTTGGTCGGTGGCGGGTGGAAGGGCCCTCGCTCAACGGATAAAAGTGACTAACGGGATATTAATAAAGAGGCCGTAGCAAGGAGACTTTAACAGACCCGAGGAAGTCTTTCGCTTTTGCCAAGAGAGAATCTTGCTGCTTAAGTTATGCAGGCAGGGGAGGGGCATCCCGTATTGCTAAATAGAGCGCCCACTTTCTTTGCATAGATTAGGCATTAGGCCCAACTGAAAGAAAGGGTCGCTCAAAGCCAGGACAGGGGGGGTCCTTGAAGAACAGGTCCAGGCCGAAATCCTCCGCCGGGGATTGTCTCGCTCGGATTTCTATTTGATTCTAGAACGAACAGTAAAGGAAGGATATAATTCATCTTTAGTTGAGTCTTACTCAGAGGGAAGTAATAACGATATGGTCTCGTTATCCACTTCTTGCTTCTTAAAAGTAAAGACTATCCTTCCAATATGCTTTGTGTTCACTCACATGTATCATAATCGAGCCATCAAAAAGGAAGGTGCAATCTCAGTTCATTCATGTACCTCTCATTTACTTGGATGTCACATATCACTAGTTTTCGCTATGGTTCGTCCTTAAACCATATCTTACAAAGAGAGACATCACTCTGGTACCATCTGCAACAATCCATGCACATGATTCGAAATTCAGATTTGACACCTAATGACTCCGACATTCCCTTGCATCCTTAATGGTGCTGTCGCGTTACTTACTCATTGCTTCTTAAGAGTGAAAACTTTTTCCACACACTTTTATATATTAATTAATAATCCTCCCTTCATGGAACTACAAGCCAAATCTTATCATATAACACGCGACAAGTATCATACAAGATAATTTTTTTTCTTTACAATCGACTACTTGGAATGACGACGATGACGATAATCTTGAATGCTTTTCTAAGGTTCGTATGGTTTGTCACTTGAGAAGTAACGATGAGTTTCAGTGTCAGAACCCTTTCCGTAATTTTTATAACCTAGATTTTCATCGTCATCGTCTACGTTATTGTTATTGTCGATATTAGTTACAACATCAGCAACAACAACAACATCGACATCTTCAGATCCATGCTCATATGCACCACTGAACACTTCCGTTTCAGGAGTTGTTTGGCCACCGAAGCTTCGAGCTAGCTTACGTGCATGCTTCTTCTCGACCACGTCGTGCATCGTAGAGTCTGCCATCCGGAGAAGCAACGAGACAACGAAGAGAAGGAGCATCTTCTTCATCATAATCACCACAATAACTGGAAAAAAAAAAAAAAAAAACAGAGCTTAATTTAGATAAATAAAAGCCAAAATTAATGGTTTTGATTAAAAATTACCTTGTTATTTGGTATTTAAGGATATGGGGTGGAGGAGGACAAAAGGAAGCATATATATAAAGGGAAAATTCAAACCACTGTTTTGGACACGTGTAAAGATATATATGGAGGAATAATAATATAAATAAATAAATAAATAATATTATTTAAAAATAATAATAAAGATTGGACGGTGTACATACGAGTTATTCTTAGTTATAATGTCAACTTAAGTATAATTCAACTGAGTAAGACATCATGTTCTTAACTAAAATGTTCCAGATTTGAATTCTTATCGACACATAATATTGTTGAACTAAAAATCTCGACCATTTGTTATTTCCTCTATGATATGAGAATCTGTAACACCCGAGTAAAGGAACAGTACATGAAAGAATCGAGACCACGTTTAAAAGAGAGCGATCTACCACGATGAAGGGATTAGATAAGGGGATATACCACGATGCCCACCAAAGAGGTAGTTATGATTAAAGCAATTTCCATTGATCTAAGTTTCAACGGTTTAATAATTAAATCATTTAAATTTTCCGAATTGCAATAATTATGAATATATTTTTTTAGATATTAGAGGCTTTTCGCCATTCCAACAATTATGCCTATTTTCGATGGTTCGATTGCTTGCAGATTCAAGTTTTTTTCTAACTCATATTTTACAATTTCTTTAGAATTGTCTGCTCATACCACGATAGAATTGTAAGACTATCGTCCGTTTGTCTCCAACTTTCTATTGCGTCTATTATTAACTTTCGTTTTATCTTCCTTTCATCTCTGAGACTGAACAACTAGCTAGGTTCAGCTGACCTGAACATGATAAGATTGAAGTTTTGAGTCATTCACCCGACTTGTGGTTGAACTTATACTCGAACAGTCATAAGTTGGATGAATTTCCAACCATAGTCCGTTTCAAATGAACTTTATTGCTTGGTTAAATACAACGAGCCAAATCTGGTTTCTATGTGTAAAAGAAATAATCTGGTTACTCATATGCACCGTAACAAAACTTTTAATAATACTTTTAAATTTTCAAGAAAGTCAAAAAAAAATTAATTTTAGATATAAACTATTAATATTTTATTTTAAAAATATTAAAAAAATATATGTTTGAATTTTAAAATGTTTCATTAATGTCTTTAAACTTTATAAAAATGTTTAAAAGTATTTTTAAATATTTATGAAATTTTAAAGAAAGCATTAAACATCTTTAAACTTTATTAAAAAAATATACTAAATTATATTTGAATTTTTTAAAAAGTTTTAAAGATATTAATGAAATTTTTGAAAATTGAGGATATTTTTTAAAACCTAAATAAATTATTAATTGCTTGCCTCTAGTATTTTTAAATTTTTTTAAAATTTAAACTTAAAAAAATGTATGAATAATAAGATAAATGGTAAGGTTTAATGGTATTTTTATTAATTTAGTTAAAAAAAAATAATATATATAATTTTCAATTCGAAAGTAAAGAAATATAATTAAATTTTATACAAAAGTATTGAAGTATTTTTAAATAATGAATAAAATATTTAATTATATGACTGGAAATAAAGGGGCAATTAATTTTCAATTTTTAGTCCCTCGTATTAAGAATGCCCCCTATAAAAGCAAAAATTTAGTGAGATTGCATACTGTTATTTTATTTGTTTCGTATGTTGCACGATATTCATTGGCGCCAAAGATTAGGTTCAGAACGTCTGAAAATTTTCCCGCGATATCAAGATGGAGAAAAGGATGAGCGACTCCTAAACTCCGCAGAGAGATCAAGCGGCAAATCGTAGATCAAGGAAACCTCTGAAGGTATGATTGATTTTTATTGGTTATTCTCAATCGCTGTCATTCTCTAGCTTGATTTCTTGTAAATTCTGCTTCCTTTAAGATCGCCAAATGCTTGACTACCACATTTTCATCACTTTCCGATGATAAAATCCAGCAAAGCTCGAAGCAAGACTTCTCTCCGATTTCTGTTGTCTCAGACGTCAATCAAATGCCAGATATCGATCGAGTAAGTTCCGATTCTATCAGTCCGACTTAACTTTTCATTTCCTTCTTCTATCTATACTTTGTGTTTTCCTGCTTCTTCTGTTTCGTTTATTAGTTGATATCAATTGTTGGAGTAGATTTGTAGTTTATTCATTGATTGAGTTATATTCGTTTTTTTTTTCCTCCGTTTATAATCTACTGCGACTGGAGATTCACTTGATGTATTAAATGTATACTCAAGCGATAAAACGAGGTATATGAGAGATTTATGACCCTGGAATTTGATAGGTTTTAAATTTTGCTAAGTTAGTTTCCTCAATTTCAGAGTTTCTTGCATGATGTTAATCCGGCTCTTTCTGCTTGCTGCGGGAGCTCTCTTATCCCCGATCTTTCTCCATCTTCAGTTGTCACTTTTGATAATGGACAGCTTGACAAGGTTCCAGTTAATTTTTCTGGATCTAATGATTTGGATGAAACTAGCGCGGGTTCAGTAGGAGCAGAGATTGCTGTAAATTCTTTGAGTCGTGCTCTAACTCAAGTCCTGCAATCCACGGATGTTCATCATCAGTCCAAGAAGCTTATAGATGCATCCATAAGGATCATTGTAGACGATTTCTTTGCTATACCTCAAGATCGAGACCATATTTTTCAACTTATTTCTGCCAAAAGTCACGTTCTCTCTATATCTTTATTCCTGTGGATCATCGTCTTGGCATTAGCTTTCTTAATTGATTTTGTCGTAACTTGTTACCTTCAAAATGGACTTTGCCTGTTTCATCTTCCTACATAAGAAACCTAAGCCGTGAAAGTCTGTAATCAGAAGTTAACCGTGCATAACCTCACGGTTAGCGTACTATGATTTAAAGCTATTTGAATTTTTCATAAACTTGTGGGTGACCATTTGACTTCGATCTTCAGTAAACCTTTAGCATTACATTTGACTTCGATCTTTTAGTAAAGTTTTAGCGTTACATTTGACTTCGATCTTCAGTAAACCTTTAGCATTACATTTGACTTCGATCTTTTAGTAAAGTTTTAGCGTTACATTTGACTTCGATCTTTTAATAAACCTTTAGCATTACATTTGACTTCGATCTTTTAGTAAAGTTTTAGCGTTACATTTGACTTCGATCTTTTAGTAAACCTTTAGCATTACATTTGACTTCGATCTTTTAGTAAAACCTTAGCATTACATTTGACTGCTTATTTGTGAGTCTTCACTTTCTTATTTGATTAATTAGCGAATATTTGATGTTGTTTTCACTTTGCAAAGATATAATATTTGATGTTGTTTTCACTTTGCAAAGATATATTTTGCCTAGAGAATTCAGAGATATTTGTTTTGAATTCGGAACTATTATGATGCGAGTTAGAGAAGATCCAAACTTCCCTGCAGTCTGGAGATGTTGCATTTGATAAAGACTCGAGCCTGATTTGTTAATAAACAACGATTTATGATGAGGCTGATTTTTTTTTTTTTTTTTTTTTTTTTTTTTTTTTTTTTTTTTT